ATTTACCCAAAGGAAAAGAAAGCACTACATAAGAAAGACTCCAGCATTCATATGTTTATCACAGAACTATTCACAATAGCAAAGATATGGTATCAACCTAAGTATTCAGTGTGGATGATCAGATAAAAAAAATGTGGTATATACACACTATTAAATACTAGTCAGCAATAAGTAAAAAAAGGAAATCATCATTTGCAGCAACATGAAGGAAACTAGGGGCCATTATTCTAAGTGAAATGACTTAGGAAGAGAAAAATCAGATACCACATGTTCTCATTTACAAGTGGAGCTAAACACTGGGTGCACATGGACATGTGGAGTAGAATAATAGACACTGGAGACTCCAAAAGGCGGGAGAGGGGCTGGGTGAGTATGAACAATTTTCTATTCAGTACAACGTACATCATTCAGGTAATGGTTACACTAAAAGCCCAGACTTCACCACTACGCAATATATCCATGTAACAAAACTGCACTTGTGGCCGGGCGCGGTGGCTCACGCCTGTAATCCTAGCACTCTGGGAGGCCAAGGCGGGCGGATTGCTCGAGGTCAGGAGTTCGAAATCAGCCTGAGCAAGAGCGAGACCCCATCTCTACTATAAATAGAAAGAAATTAATGGCCAACTATATAGAAAAAAATTACGCGGGCATGGTGGCGCATGCCTGTAGTCCAGCTACTCAGGAGGCTGAGGCAGAGGGATCACTTGAGCCCAGGAGATTGAGGTTGCTGTGAGCTGGGCTGACGCCACGGCACTCACTCTAGCCTGGGCAACAAAGCGAGACTCTGTCTCAAAAAAAAAAAAACTGCACTTGTACTCCTATATTGTAAATTGAAAATAAAAGTAAAGCATTGGGATATTATAAACAATATTATTTTTATATATGTGAATATATTTGGGAGAAGAGAAAGCTTTTGCTACTGCGTAACAGTCAGCATCTGCTTAAATTAGGAAGTGAAAATTGAAAGAGGAATATGATATTCACATTGTCTCCAAGTATATCCCCAGAAAACAGTTGTTGATTACAAAGGACACATAACAACTTCACTGTGGAGAAACCTGGTGGATGCCAAATTAACGATGCTGTCAAAGCAAACATCACCAATTAAGGAACAGATGAGGACAATTGTCACCCGAGTGGCATCCCCCACGAATGCGTAACCTGCACCTAATCACGAGGTGTCACAGGACAAACCTCTTCCCTGGGATTCTCTCACAGTTTCTTCCTCTGCAGAGTCCCTCCTCCATCTGCCCTCAGGCATCTCCACACACCAGCACCTGCTGTGACCAACAGCTGTAAGAAAGTCACCCTGAAGGTCCCCATTCACACTCCTGCTTCAAACAGGATGGATCCAAACAGGATTCCATGGCCTCACAGGATACGGAGATGAACACAGACACTGAAGTGTGGGGAGAGGCAGCACCCGGGGCAGAGCACACTGCGCTCTGACCTTCAGCCTTAAACCCAGCACTGGGCTGTCTCTCTTCCATGGCACACCTGGGAAATGTCTGAAACACAGAACAAGGGCTTATGACAGGCAGAAATTGTTTTCTGAAAAGGAGAAGTCAGGCATCTGATTTGGGACCGAGGGGGCCGAGGTGTTGAGAAACAGCTGTTTTGCTTCCGGTGAAAGTTTCAATGTGGATAAACAGACTGAGGGTGCTGGGTTGTCACCCACCCACAGCGTCCTCCTAGTCAGTGAGACCTCGGGGCTCTTCCCTCTCGTCCCTCCATGAGGGGTCAGCAGGGAAGTCGTCCTGCTTCCGAAACTCACCACCCAGCGCTGCCAAACTGCATGCAGGACAGTGAATCACATGTTCATTATTATCATTTTGTACGTTTAGAATATGCCTTCAATTTCACTGTTATAACTTTTGCTAATTAGTCTTCTCACTGGTCTGTTATTAATCTATCATGTACTAATAATTACTTTTAAGTTAAGTATCAATGAAAAAGTAATCAATAATTAATAATTTTACACTAGAAATGCATGCCCCTCATTAGTCTTCTCACAAGTATGTTGTCCATTTATTATTTTTTTTTATTTCGGCATATTATGGGGGTACAGATTTTAAGGTTTCAATAAATGCCCTTTCCCCCACTCCCCCCACAAGTCTGAGTCTCCATCATGACCATCCCTCAGATGGTGCACATCTCACTCATTATGTATGTATATACCAGCCCCCTCTCCCCACCCTCCTCCCCAATACCCTATTACTGTAGTACCTATGTGTCCACTTAGGTGCTACTCAGTTAATACCAGTTTGCTGGTGAGTATATGTGGTGCTTGTTTTAATTAATGTTTTTAAACTAAGAATTGGTGACAAAGTACTTAATAATGAATCGTACTACTAATAATAATGTGTCCCTTAGGAAGTCTCATCACTGATGTTCTATTAATTTACTATCCATTGATAATATTCTTAAATTAAGCATTGATGGCCAACTAATCAATTATGCACCATGTATTATTAATAATGTACCTATTTCTTATGTAAATGTCCATTTACTGTGGTTTACGTGCTGGAGCACAGTGTGAGAGGTGCTGCTGATTGGACTAAGCAATGAAAAAGATGAAGTTTATAATTTGATGAGACATTTTATTTGCTTAACTTCTGTTTGTCTACAAAAGCCTTATGACAAATTCTGAAGTACACGTCCTTCCCCGATGGGGACAATTATTTATTTAGGCACAAACAGACAAGAATGTGTTGGTAATATATAATAGGTTTCACATGTAAGTTAGCCACTTATTTGAAACTCCTGGGTACCATAATCTTTTGGTAACGTAGTAACATGTTGTGGCCTGTGGGGTTTTTTTCTACTGAAACACTCACTGTTGAACTCACTGTTTAATCTGCCTGTGTAAAGACTGGCAGACTAAAGGAGATGAGGCGGTTAATGGCTGGGTGTCTGAACGCACCCTGCAGGTCCTTCATGAGGTCAGGAGAGCTCCAGGTGTAAAGACATCCCCAGCAACTGGAGCGGCTTTCCTGACTGATGGAATAAGAGATACGATGGAAGAAAAGGCAACGTGGACAGCACTGGAATCGCCTTCCCTAACAGAATAGTGACACCAAAGTAATTCCGCATACCTGGAGAAAGTGCCAGGACAATGACTCCATCAGGACTTCCACCTGCTTGTTCCATTCCCCTATTTGACCTGTGCAGAAAACAGATGGACTGTGGAGAACAGCAGTGGATTCTTGTAAATCAGATGGGGGTTTCAGTTTCAGCTGAGGAGTCTCAACTCCCTCTTGAGGCTTTATTACTAGAGAAAATCCACAGATTCCCTGGCACTTGTATGCAGCTACTGGTCTGGGAAAAGCATATCTTCTACGTGTGTATTGCAAGGAGTCAGCAGTGCATGTCCACTGCCCAACTTCAGAGCTGTACTGACTCTGCAGCCCTCTGTCAGCTAGTCGGCAGGGACCATGATCGTGTCTCCACAGCACAGAACGTCACCTGGGTCCTTCACATCGATGATGCACTGATTGCACCTGTTCAACATGGAGGAGCAAATACTCCAGTTTGTGAGACCTTTGTTCCAGAGAATGGGAAATAAATCGTCCTTAAATTCAGGTTTGCTGCCTCAGTAAAATCTCTAGGAGTCCAGCTACCTGAGGCACGATGAAGTAAGTCCCCCCAAGATGAAGACATGTCGCTCCATCTGACCTCTTACTCATAAGAGACAAGTCAGAGACCTATGGGGCTCTTCTTACATTTGGAGACAACATATACCTCCTTGGATATTCTACCTCAACCCATTTATTAAGTACCTTGAAAGACTGCTGGCTTTGAGTTGGGCCCAGAATGAGAGGAATCTCTGCAACAGGTGCAGGCTACAGGCAGCCTGAGCCTGAGGCCCAGCAGACCCAATGGTGTTTGAAGCACCTGAGGCAGGTGAGGATCCTATGCAGAGCCTTTGGCAGGAAGCTTTAGATGAATTTACAACAGTCATTTAAGATTCTGAAGCCACACTATGCCGTTTCTGCAGAGATGGTTCTCAATTTGTGACGCAGCTTCTAGCTTGCTACTGGGCTGCAGTAGAGACTGAACTCTTGGCCTTGAGTGGGCAGGTCACCATGTGACGTGAGCTGCCATCATGAACTAGGCGTGGACTGACCAACCAAACATGCAACTGGCCATGCCCACCAGCTCTCTGTCATCAAACTTAAGTGGTTTATACAAGATTAGACTACAAGAGTTTGTAAAGGCATGTGGCAGGTGGAGTAATGACTTCCCAAAGGTGTCCACGTCCTGATCCTCAGAACCTGTGAATACAGTACCTTACATAGCAAAAGGCACTTTGCAGATGTGATTAACTTAAGGACCTTGGAGCAGGGAAATCATCTTGGATAATCCAGGTGGGCCCAATGTGATCCCAAGAAGGCCTTATACATGAAAGAGGGAGGCAGGAGGCTGACATCAGAGAAGAGAAGATGGAAGCAGAGGCTGGAGTAACATCACTGCTGGCTTTGAGGAGGGAAGGGGATGAGAGTGAGGGAGTGCAGGCAGCCTGCAGATGCTTGAGGAGGTGAGAAAACAGGTTAGCCCTGGAGCCAGAAGGAACACAGCCCTGATGACAACTGACAACAGCCCAGGGAGTTGCCCCGTGGACCTCTGACAGCCAGAACTCTAAGATAACACATCTGTGTCATCTTAAGCCTCTAAGCTTGTAGAAATTTGTTAGTGCTGCAACAGGAAGCTACCACACTGGGTATCTGATTTAGTCTCTGCAAACTCAAACTTTCCTTCTATTTGGTCACTGGTGCATTTCCATGGTCAGGCACATGGCAAAACCCTATAAATGTGTGCTGATACTTGGGCAGGAAGGAGTTAAGACCAGGGAGGCAGCAGCCATGGATCAGGGGAGACCCCATTTCTGTCGGAAATGTCTCCAGAGAGCCTGGTGCACAGCCCAGCACAGGGGAAACCAGAGCCAGGCTCTCAGAAATTTCCTCTTCCTGTGGGGCTGCTGATGTGAGAACCTCATGACGGGAAGGACCCAGCCTCCAAGTGGCCACACCCTGTGTGCCTTTCTGTCCTGCGGGCACCGTGGTCTCACCCATCGGCACAGCCGGGACCAGCTCGGGAGGAGACGCCATGACCCCCACCCTCACGGCCCTGCTCTGCCTCGGTGAGATGGGAAGTGGGGGGGGAGACCTGGTCTGGGGGGGACCCCACCCCACAGCCAGGCCCTGCTCTAGCAGGAGACCCCAGGGCTCAGGAGGCTCCCGGGGAGGACAGGACGTGCTCAGCCTTCAGGGACAAATCTCTCACAGGGAACTCTCTTCCAGGGCTGAGTCTGGGCACCAGGACCCGCGTGCAGGCAGGTGAGTCTGTCCCCAGCTGTCCCAGGTCCCTCCTCAGTGGAGACAAGGGGACAGCCCTGGGCAGCTGGCGATGGGGAACAGCAGTTCTGGGCTGACTGATGGGGACGTCTGAGAGATCCTGGGCTGAGAGCTGGGTGGGGATGTCTTGGGACCCAGTCTCTTGATTTCCTTCCAGGGACCCTCCCCAAACCCACCCTCTGGGCAGAGCCAGCCTCTGTGATCACCTGGGGGAGCCCTGGTATCATCTGGTGTCAGGGGACCCTGGATGCCAAGGAGTACCGTCTGGATAAAGAGGGAAGATCAGAGCCCTGGGACAGACAGACACCACTGAAGCCTGGGAACAAGGCCAAGTTCAACATCCCACACATGGCAGAGTACTATGTAGGGCGATATCACTGTTACTATTACAGCCCTGCTGGGTGGTCAGAGCCCAGTGACGCCCTGGAGCTGGTGGTGACAGGTGAGAGGACACTCGGGCTCCCAGCCCCAGGCTCTGCCCTCAGGAAGGGGTCTGCTCTCAGGGGTGTCTCCCTGTCACAGCCCAGCCCTGGGGGTGATGTGGGAGGTGTGAGCCCATTGACCACGGCTGCCTCCTTCTCTCCTAGGATTCTATGATAGTAAACTCACCCTGTCAGCCATGCCAAGCCCTGTGGTAACCCCAGGAGGAAACGTGACACTGCAGTGTGTCTCACAGCAGGGATTTGGCAGGTTCATTCTGATCGAGGAAGGACAGAAGCTCTCCTGGACCCGGGACTCACAGCGGACCTCCTCTGGGCAGTCCTATGCCCTGTTCCCTGTGGGCCCTGTGACCCCCAGCCACAGGTGGATGTTCAGATGCTATGGCTTTTACAGGAACAACCCACAGATATGGTCGGTTCCCAGTGACCCCCTGGAGGTACTGGTCTCAGGTAAAGGGATTTCATCCTACCATGTTCATTTCTTGAGACCCCCAAAAATGTCACTGTGAGCCTTGCTCCCAGGGGAGCCTGAGGTGGCAGGGGTGGTGAGGAAACAAAGGTCCCCAGGGCCACAGGCCCAGAGTGTGAGAGACAGCGGGACCTGCAGGGCAGGACAGGGCATGGAGGTGTTGGGAGGAACCAGCCCCTTCGCAGTAGGAGAACAGTTTGAGTGGAGGAGGGGACTCCAGGGCAGCCCCAGCCCCTCACCCTCTTCTTGCCCTCATTCCCAGGATCATCTGGGCACTCCAGCCCCCCAACCGCAGGGCCGTCCTCAACACCTGGTAAGTCACTAAAGTGTCTCAGCTCAGAGGGAGCACGGCCTGCCCCAGGGCAGTGCTGAGTCCCCCATCGCCACATTCCCTCAAATTCTCAAGGATGGGCTGTGTTCAGGGGGTGGGAGTCAGGCAGAAATGCGGGGACCCCAGGCTCCCAGGGCTCTGAGGCTGGTCTGTTGAGTGGTGAGGGGTGGGGGGCCCAGGCAGGGGAGATGCTGGGCCCGGCCTGGGGGAGGGGCGGGCTGCAGTGCGGATCAGACGGCCCCCGCCCCGCAGCTCCTGCCCTGACCAAGAGGCCTGAGGATCAGCCCCTCCCCCACGGGGTCTGGCCCCAGAGTGGTGAGTGAGGGGCTCTGTGTGGGGAGGTGGGGGGTCCGGGGGAGGCAGGGGCTGAGTTAAGCCATTGGCTCAGGCTCCTCTGGAGACAAGGCGTGGACAAGCCCTTCGCCATCTGGGCCTCAGTTTCTCTAAGCGTAAATGGGAGAGGCCCGGCCCCGAGGGCAAGCAGCTCCCAGGGAAGCCTCCGGGACCTGCTCTGCAGTGGCCTGTCCCACCGGCTGCCACAGTGGCCACGCTGTGCAGGGAGGGGACCCGGGCCGCGGTGCGGGGCTGCAGGCTCTCTCCCTTCACCTCGGGGCTCAGGTCTGGTGGAGGGAACAGGGCTGCACGTCATCTCCCTGGGTCACTTCTCAGCTCTGCTGCCTCCTGGCTGGGCACCCTGGGGCAGGCGATTCCCCTCTCTGGGCCTCAGTTTCCTCCTGTGTGAAATGGGTGGGGGTGGGGGCGATCCCAGGGTGCACGGCTGGTGAGGGCTGGAGGTGACGGATGCAGAGACCCAGCATGTGCCTGCACACAGTGGGTGCTCAGTTGATGACGTCATTCCTCACTCCTGATGTCGCTTGTTCCCAAGGTCAGGGAAGGTTCCTGGAGGTTCTGATCGCGGTGTCGGTGGCCTTCGTCCTGCTGCTGTCCTTGCTCCTCTTCCTCCTCCTCCTCCGACACCGGCGTCGGGGCAAACACAGGTCGTCGGGTGAGTGGGGCGTGGGGGACGCAGGGGCGCCCGAGGGCGGGCTCAGGCACCCGCCAGAGAGGAGAAAACAGGCGGGGACTTCCACTTAGAAAACCTGCTCCCGCGGTTTCCAGTCAGACGCGGGGAGCCACCCGCAGCGTCAACGCGAGCGCAGTGTCAGTGTGTGCTGCGTGTCTCAGCCTGCGCGCGTGCGCAGTGTCAGTGTGCGCAGAGTGGCTCAGCCTGCGCGCGTGCGCAGTGTCAGTGTGCGCACAGTGGCTCAGCCTGCGCGCGTGTGGAGTGTCAGTGTGCGTTGAGTGGCTCAGCCTGCGCGCGTGCGCAGTGTCAGTGTGCGCTGAGTGGCTCAGCCTGCGCGCGTGCGCAGTGTCAGTGTGCGCTGAATGGCTCAGCCTGTGGCTGAGACTCTGTCCATCTGCTCCCAGCCCAGAGGCAGGCTGACCTCCCACGTCCTGCGGGGGCCGCGGAGCCAGAGCGCAAGGACAGAGGCCTGCGCAAGAGGTAATTCTGCCCGAAGACCCCGGACTGCACCCGCCCGCGGCCCCCTCACCGCCCCTCACCCCCGTGTCCTCCCCAGGTCCAGCCCCGCTGCCGACGACCAGGAAGAAAAGCTCTGTGAGAGGAGGGGGCCCTGGGGGAGACGGGCGGGAAGGGTCAGCGGCAGTGGGGGAGGGGCAGGCTGGGAAGGGTCTGGGGCTCAGGGGGGACGGTCTGAACCCCACACCGGGGGCCTCGGGGACACCACAGCCACTCCCTGGATCCCGTGGCCCCATCTGGGCCCAGAGCGGGGGCTGGTGCGACTGAGGGGTCCCGGGGGTCCTGCCAGGGGACGAGCCCCTCGTTCTGCCCCAGCAGATGCTGCCGTGAAGGACACACAGCCTGGGGAGGAGGTGGAGCTGGACAGCCGGGTGAGACCCCTGCCCCTGTCCAGGGCACCAAGGCTCCTGTTGCCACATTGAGCCCAGCGGACACCCCCCCTCCCTTCACTCACTCTCAGCGTCAGCCCACAGTGGACCTTCCTCCTGCCTGTGCGACCTCACTCCCCCGGCTTCCTGCCACCCGTGGGCCCCTTTCCAGCTCCTCGTCCTCCGTCTGACCGTCTGGGTGTCAGATGTTCCCCAGGCCTCAGCGGCTGCATGAATCCATGCAGCACCCAGGTCCCCAGGCGCCTTTCATTCATTCACCCGACAGTGTTCACGGGGCTCACTCTGCTCGGCTGCAGGAAGCAGCTGCAGACGCAGCAGGGAGCGAAGCTGCCCCAGCCTCCCTGCTCACCTGGGGGCCAGAGACGATGTGCACGTAGATGCAGTGGCCAGGGGTGCGAAGGGCCGTTAGGGAACATACTGCAAGGGGCAGGACAGAGTGCATGGGGCAGGGGGCCGGTCTGAGGTATGAGGGGAGGGCGTGTGATCAGGTGTCCTCTGAGGAGAAGCCTGAGTGCAGAGGACCGTAGCGACATCTAGTGGACGAGCAGCTGCAGCGGAGGAAACCGCCAGTGCAAAGGCCCTGAGGCAGCAGCCTGCTCTGTCAGGACACAGGCCTGAGGCTGGGGCCAAAGGAGCAAGGGCCAGAGTGTGAGGACAAGAGGTCGGCACTGCAGGGAGGAAGCAGCCAGGCCCTCCGAGGACTTAGGAAATCCATGGAGATTCCATCAGGAAAGTGACATGACCGGATCACTCTGGAACAGTGTGAAAACTTAACTAAGGGAGGTCGAGTGGAAGCAAGGAGACCCCATCACTGTCTCTCTCCAGCAGAGCCCACATGACAAAGACCCCCTGGGGAGTGACATATGCCCAGGTGAAGCACTTCTGACTCAGGTGGAGAGTGGCCCCCCTCCTCCCCCACCGTCTGGGGAATTCCTGGACATGAAGGACAGACAGCAGGAAGGGGACAGGCAGAAGGACAGTCAGGCAGGTCCTTTCCTCCCCAGGACCCCAGGCCTCCTCCCACCCCAACCACGTACCTTCCCTCTCACTCTCCCCACTGCAGGCTGCCACATCTGAAGACCCCCAGGACGTGACCTACACCCAGCTGCACAGCTGGACCCCCAGACGGGGGACAACTGCACCTCCTTTGTCCCAGGAGAGAGACCCTCCAGCTGAGCCCAGCGTGTACGCTGCGCTGGCCATCCACTAGCCCAGGAGGGACCCAGACCCTACCCTGCATGGAGGGAGATTCGGGGACCCTGCAAAGCACAGGAGCTGCCCCCAGGACACTAACCAGCGAACCCCAGCCTGGAACCCTGACAAAGACTACTGGGAGGTTCTGGGAACTTCTGGGAGTCACCTGACTCTGCAGTCAGAGATAAATAGTATCAAGATGTACATTTTGGAAATAAAGCAACAGACTTCTCAATAATCAATGAGTTCAATGAGAAAATCAAAACAGAAGTGAGTGTTTTAAATTGATAATATAAATATTACACATTAAACTATGAAACTGAAAAACTGAAAACCACCAATGAATAAATCAGAAAAGAAAAATCTAAAAAATTAATAACCTTGGCTATCATATCAAGAATTTAGAATAAGAATAACAACTTATTCCAAAAGAAAGTGTAAGGAAGAAAATCATAGGAGAGCTGCTAATGAGGACAAACAAAACTTGAAGGGCCAGGTGCTGTAGCTCCTGCCTGTAATCCCAGCTACTCCGAGGCTGACACAGTAGAACTGCTTGAGCCCAGGAGTCTGAGACCAACCTGGGATATAGAGGAAGACCCCATTTCAATTTAAAAACATTTTTTTCATGGAAAACTCAATAAAGCCAAAAAGCTTTATTCTTGAAAACATTAATCATCTTCACAAATCCTAGCCACAATGAGCAAGAAAAAAAAGAGGAGACACACATTTCCATATAGAAATGAAGCAGGAGTCAGTACTACAGACCCTACACACATTTTCAAAAACTAAGAAGAGAACATTATGAGCGAGTCTATGCCAATATATTAGAAAATACAAATGAAATGGACACAATATTCTAAACTATAATTTACTTAACTGACATAAGAATAAATATAAAATCTGAATCATTATATACATAGCGTGTGTGTGTATATATATATAGTATTTACATATATATAGTATTTTAGATATATATACATATCTATATATAAAATACATTGACTCAGTAAACAAAAATGTGCCCACAATGTAAACTCCAGTTCAGGAAGCTTTGTTTGTGCTTGTTCAAACACTTATGCACTTATGAAACACACACACACAAACCTATACCCCAAATGTACACAAATTTTCCATGATGATAGAAAAAAAGGAATTATACTCAAAGATATTTTATTAGGGAAAGAAAAAGTTGATACCAAAATCTGACAAGGAAATTATAAAATGGGAAAATCATAGGAAGATCTTTCCCATGAACTTAAATGTAAATCTCTAAACAAATATTAACAAGTAAGATTCATTCCTATATAAAATGGGCAATACATCACAACATCATGAACACACTGTGCTTTCTACATTTTTTGTTTCTGTTTATGGAAGGCAAGGGTAGCTTAATTTTTTTTTTTTAAGATTGAGAAGAGAAATTTATTTCACATCATTTTGATCAATTTTCTAAGCTTATTGCACCATAGAATCTAAAACACCTAAGAAACCTGTAATACCGTAATATTAAAGTTATTAAGTATGAAATGTCCCGATAATGATGAGCTGAAAGCTATAGTGGAATCCATCTCAACCTATGTGTGAGTAAGCAGCAAGGTTTGGCGTTAATATTTGAACAATATTGGACCATTTAAAAAAAGTTGACAAGGTAAAGAAGCTGGATAGATGGGTACCACATGAATTAAATGAGCATCAGAAGCAAAATTATCTTGAAGCTTGCCTCTCTTTTCTGTCACAACCAAAAAAGATGAACCATTTCTATACCATATTGTGACATGTGGTGAAAAATGGATTCTTTTTGACAATCGCAAGCATTCAGCACAATGGTTGGATAAAAATGAAGTGCTGAAATACAGTCCAAAACCGAGTATTCACCACAAAAACTAATGGTGTCTGTTTGGTGGTCCGGCGCTGGTATTATCCACTACAGCTTCATGAAACCTGGTCATTCGATTACAGGATGTCTACTGCAACAAGTTGGATGAAATGATGAGGATGCCTGTGATTAAACAGTTGAGATTGGTGAATAGAGACAGGCCAGTCCTCTTGCAAGAGAATGCTTGATCACATGTCATACTAAGAAAGTTGCTCGAACCACAGAAGCTGGATATGGAAGTTCTCTGTCATTCACAGTATTCACCAGACCTTACACCAACTGACTACCACTTCTTCCAGGCTTTGGACCACTTCTTGCAAGAAAAAATATTCAGTCTCAACAAGCTGTGGAAAACACCATTTGTAATTTCATTGCCACCCGCTCTCTAGGCTTCTTCCCTGCTGGCATAAGCAAGCTACTGTTAAGATGGCAACACTATGCCAATAGTTTAGGTGCACACTTTGATTAATTTTACTGCTTCTTGTTTGAGATTATAATGAACTACATTTTTTATTTGAAATCGGACATTTTATATTTAATAACCTAATATAAATCTTAGGAAATGTTAATTTTTCTTATTTTTTTTAAGGAGAGGAATTTTATTTCAGCATATTTTGGGGGTACAAATGTTAAGGTTACATACATTGCCCTTGTCTCCCCTCTTCCCTCAAGTCAGAGCTTCAAGCATGTCCATCCCCAAGATGGTGTGCATCATACTTACTATGTATGTATATGCTCATCCCTTCCTCCCCCCTCCCACCTGCCCCACACACCCAACAAATGTTTTTTATTCTTTTTTTCTTAACATTTTGGTTACATTTTATATCTTTGCCTCTCCCTAGCAAGGGTTAGAGGTATGACCTTCCCCTCCACAATGTTCACCACATCCCTCAGATGTGGGACTACCCCTTCAACCCCCGAATCCCTGGTGAACACCACCACCCTTTGAGCACCATAGTGTTAATCAGTCAGTACAAATTTGATGGCGAGTATATGAAGCCCATTATTCTGTTCTTGTGTTACTTTGGATAATGGGCTTAAGCTCAATCCAGGATAATATAAGTGGTGTTAGCTCACTATTGTTTCTTAGAATTGGGTATTATTCCATTGTAAACATATATAAAATTTTAATAATCCACTCATGAATTGATGGGCACTTGGGTTGTTTCCATGTCCTTGTGCTGCCATAAACATTCGGGTGCAGATGTCTTTATAATAGAATGTCTTATGCTCTTTTGGGTAGATGCCTAATAATGCTATTGCTGAGTCAAACGCATTTGACAAAGTCCAACACATCTTTATGATAAAAGCTCTTAACAAAATAGTCATAAGCAGCTGATACTTTAAAATTATCAAATCCAATTATGACAAAACCATGGCCAATATCATACTCAATGGGGAAAAACTGAAACCATTCCCACTTCTATCTGTAACTAGACGAGGATGTCCACTATCTCCTCTTCTATTCAACATAGTACTCGAAGTCCTACCTATAGCAATCTGGCAAGAGGGGGATATTAAGGGCATCCAAGTGGGTGCAGATAAGATCAAACTCTTGCTCTTCACCGATGGTATGATATTATACCTAGAAAACCCCATGGATTCACCCAAGAGACTCCTAGACTTGATAAGTGAATTCAGTAAAGTCTCAGGTTACTAAATCAATATACACAAATCAGAGGCATTCATATATGCCAAGAACTGCCAAGCCAAAACTCAAATAAAAAACACAATACCTTTTACTATAGCCCTAAAGAAAATCAAATATCTAGGAACATATTTAATGAAAGAAAAGAAATACTTATACAAGAAGAACTATGAAACACTAAAGAAAGAAATTGTAGAAGATGTAAACAGATGGAAAAATCTACCTTATTCATGGATTGGTAGAATCAATATCGTTAAAATATCAATATTACCTAAAGTCATCTACAGAATTAATGCAATCCCCATCAAAGTACCACCATCATTCTTTACAGATCCAGAAAAAATAATTCCGCACTTTCTATGGAACCAGAGAAAACCTCATATAGCCAAAACAATCTTAAGTAAAAAGAACAAACTGGGAGGCGTTAGTCTTCCTGACTTCAACCTGTACTATAAAGCAATAATAATTAAATCAGCCTGATATTGGCACAAGAACAGAAGCATCGATATTTGGAATAGGACTGAGATTCCAGAGATGAAACCATCTGTATACAGTAACCTAATATTTGATAAAGCAGACAAAAATATACAATGGGGAAAAGAATCTCTCTTCAATAAATGGTGCTGGGAAAGCTGGATAGCTACATGCAGAAGAATGAATCAGGATCCCTACCTATCACCTCTCACAAAAATCCAATCAAGATGGATAACAGATTTAAGCCTAAGGCATGAAACCTTAAGAATCCTAGAAGAAGAGGTTGGGAAAACCCTCTCAGACATCGTCCTAGGCAAAGAATTTTTGAGGAAGACCCCCAAAGCAATCACCACCACAACAAAAATAAACAAATGGGACCTGATCAAATTAAAAAGCTTCTTTTTAATTTGGAAACTATTAGGAAACTATCATTAGAGCAAATAGACAACCTACAGAATGGGAGAAAATATTTGCTCTCTACACTTCCAATAAAGGTCTGATAACAAGAATCTATCTAGAGCTCAAAAGAATTAACAAGAAAAAATCAAACAACCCCATCAAGAAATGGGCAATGGAAATGAACAGAAACTTTTCTAAAGAAGACAGAATAATGGCCAGCAAACATATTTAAAAATGTTCAACATTGCTAATCATTAGAGAAATGCAAATCAAAACCACAATGAGATATCATCTAACCCCAGTGAGACTGGCCTGTATCAAGAAATCCCAAAACAACAAATGCTGGTGAGGATGTGGAGAGACAGGAACACTGCTGGTGGGACTGCAAATTAGTACAACCTTTGTGGAAAAGAATTTAGAGACACCTCTAAGTAGCTTAATTTTTAATAAATCAGTACAATTAAATATATTAACAGAATAAATTTTTAAAATCATCTCAGTAGATTCAGACAAAGCTTTTTGCTTGAATATTTTTTCATATACCTGTTGAACATTTCATTGTCTTCTTTGGAGAAACATCTGTTCAGTTCCTTTGCCCATTTTTTCCGAGAGATTATTTGTTCTCTTGATGTTGACTTGTTTGAGTTCCTTATATATTTAGGCTATTATACCCTTGTCAGATACATAGTTTGCAGATATTTTCTCCTAGTTCACAGATTCTCTTCACTCTGTTGATTTGGTGTTTCCTTTCTTGTGCAGAAGCTTTTTAGTTTGAGCCATCCCATTTGTCTATTTTTGCTTTAGTTGCTTGTGTGTTTTCAGGGTCATATCCAAAAAATCCTTGCCCAGACCAATGTTTGGAGCTTTT